GGTAGAATGCATACAGAGAAGAAAGAGGCTAGAATAACTCCCTAGATTTTCCTCCACCTTACAGTAAGGAAGAATTTTATTCCTAAAAATATCTAATCTATTTTAGATAGAATGACCATGCATCTGTGTCTGACAGCAATTTCCTGGTTCACACCTGTTTTCCCAGTGTAATTATTAATTGTATTTCTTTCCACTCTCAAAAGAGTCCAAGTTTGTTCCAAAAATAATTTGTCTGACTAATTAAATCATTGTAATATGGGAAGATAAGGCAGAGTTTTCTGGAGGTAGAAATTGCGACACAGCCTTTGGGAAAGAATAAGTGTTACTGAGATCAAGAGAGAAGAAATGGAGCTATTGGAAAACGGAAATGGGGAGGGTTGATAGGAGGGAAATATAAACCTCAGGAAAGCTTGGAGGAAGAATCTGAAACAAAGAACAATTTGGGTGTTGGAGAAATTATATAAATAGGTACACTGTTGGAGCATCTAATGTATGCAGAACCAGTAAGAAACTGAATCCAGGTAAAATTGCTGAGGAGAATAGAGTGGTTTTTTTTTTTTTGCTACATTATATGGGTTTTTATAGCAGATTAAAATGTCATGAATTTTCACATTCAACGTGGCTTCAGTGTCTGACTTTTAAGAACCTACTCTCTAAAGATGGATGCATTTTAACTGATTTCCCCTATTATTCCCATATTATTAAATACAGCTTGTTTCCTAGATAAGCAGAATTATTATTTTTTCAATCTCTTAAAACATACTGTCAAATGCTTAGCACTGTATGAAGGATTTTTTTCCTAGAATAATTTTACAGTTGATAGTGTAGTCTTTAAAGATGATATACTCAATTGAAGAGTTTAATATTATGGAAAATTGTTTTCTCATAGGAAAAAACACCAAAGGACTCCAATATATATACATATATTTTGACACAAATTGTCATCCATTTAGGTAATTTGGGATATGTATTTTTGGGGACATATTTGGGAATCAAATCATAAAATTCAGTGATATATTTTCTACGTTTGATTGTTCAGAAATTCCCAAGAAATCTTAAAAAAAAAAAAAAAACTAAAAACAAAGTGTAATCTTTATTTTAAACAAAATTATGTCTTTCAATCAAATTTCACCTTTCACATTTACCAAGTAATAAGTTCCACTGTAAAATATTTAATAACTCAACAGTTAGAATGGTGGGATGCTTCTTACTTTTACATTGTTCTGAAAGTTGAAAGTGAAAATCATTCAGTCATGCCTGACTCTTTGCAACCCCATGGACTATACAGTCCTTGGAATTCTCCAGGCCAGAATAATGGAGTGGGTCGCCTTTGCCTTCTGCATGATATCTTCCTAACCCAGGGATCAAACCCAGGTCTCCCACATTGCAGGCAGTTTCTTTACCAGCTGTGCCACCAGGGAAGCCCAAGAATACTGGAGTGGGGAGACTATCCCTTCTCCAGGGGATCTTTCCGACCAACCGATTGAACTGGGGTCTCGTGCATTGCAAGAGGATTCTTTACCAACTGAGCTATCAGGAATCACATTGTTTTATATTGTTTCAATTTATACCCGTTGTGCTTGTTCAGTCACTAAGTTGTGCCCAACTCTTGTGACCACATGTACTATAGCCCACCCAGGCTCCTCTGGCCATGGGATTTCCCAGGCAAGAACACTGGAGGGGGTTTTCATTTCCTTCTCAGGGGACCTTCATGACCCAAGGTTCAAACCCATGCCAACCTGCATTGCAGTCCATCTCATGAATTGCAAGTGGATTCTTTCCTGCTGAGCTGCCAGAGAGGCCCTATACTCTTTTGAGTCCCAACTAATCTACTAGATATTTTAGGTATGTTATCATTTCATTATTCACAACAGTCCTATAAGATGTATATCTTAAGTTTAAAAATGAGTAATTTGAAACACGGAGGTACACAAAATTTAACCAAAATTATACCACCAACAACTGACAGAATTCAAATTTAAATCAAAATATTTGCTGCAAAATCCAATAATATTTTGAATAGACTACATTTCCTTCTTTACACTAACAAGATAATTTTGGGTTCAAAATAAAGAATAAATATGGAGTTTTATTTAATCATAATTTCAACTTTAGCCATTTTGTAATCATTTCACTTATGGGACATTCAGGAAAGTCAGAGCTGATCAATGATTTAAGAATAATCCCAGTGAAATCAGATATGCAGATGAAACCAACCTTATGGCAGAAAGTGAAGAGGAACTAAAAAGCCTTTTGATGAAAGTGAAGGAAGCGGGTGAAAAAGTTGGCTTAAAGCTCAACATTCAGAAAACTAAGATCATGGCATCTGGTCCCATCACTTCATGGCAAATAGATGGGGAAACAGTGTCAGACTTTATTTTGGGGGGGCTCCAAAATTACTGCAGATGGTGATTGCAGCCATGAAATTAAAAGACACTTACTCCTTGGAAGGAAAGTTATGACAAACCTGGATAGCATATTTAAAAGCAGAGACATTACTTTGCCAACAAAAGTCCATCTAGTCAAGGCTATGGTTTTTCCAGTGGTCATGTATGGATGTGAGAGTTGGACTGTGAAGAAAGCTGAGCACTGAAGAATTGATGCTTTTGAACTGTGATGTTGGAGAAGACTCTTGAGAGTCCTTTGAACTGCAAGGGGATCCAACCAGTCCATCCTAAAGCAGATCAGTCCTGGGTGTTCATTGGAAGGACTGATGTTGAAGCTGAAACTCCAATATTTTGACCATCTCATGCAAAGAGTTGACTCATTGGAAAAGACCCTAATGCTGGGAAGGATTGGGGACAGGAGGAGAAGGGGACGATAGACGATGAGATGGCTGGATGGCATCACCAACTCGATGGACATGGGTTTGGGTAGACTACAGGAGTTGGTGATGGACAGGGAGACCTGGTGTGCTGCGATTCATGGGGTTGCATAGAGTTGGACACGACTGAGTGACTGAACCAACCAAACCAGTGAAACCAGCTTTAAACATGTAAGAGTAAACTATAGCTTCCTGTTCCTAGCAAATCGCCTTTCCATAGCTTTTAAACTCTTACACAGAAGCAAACTAAAAGAAGTGGAAGTATTTCCACTGATTATGTTTTACTTTCTTAAAGCATTGTCTTTTGTCTACTGGTGTCTATAGTTATCTTCATTGATACCTCTCTGTTTAGAATAGTGAAAAATGACACACCTCTTTGCTACTCACCCCCTTTCAATTTCACATCATCTTAATTTATAAATCCTTTTGGATTGAGGGAAAAATCATGGCAGATTTATATTATTCTACAGCACCTCTGAGACTGCTCTAGACTTTAAGTTAATTCATTAATAGTTTCTTTTTTTATTTTCAGTTGACATAATTGCTTTACAATGTTGTGTTGACTTCTGTCATATATCAATAAGAATCAGCCATTGTTATTGTTGTTGTTTGGTCACTCAGTCATATCCGACTCTTTGCAACCCCATGAACTGCAGCATGCCAGGCTTCTCTGTCCATCACTATCTTCCTGGTTTTTCTCAAACTCATGTCCATTGAGTCAGTGATACCATCCAACCATCTCATCATCTGTTGTTCCTTTCTCCTCTTGTCCTCAAATTTTCCCAGCATCAAAGTCTTTCCTAATGAGTCAGCTCTTCGCACCAGGTGGCCAAAGTATTGGAGTTTCAGCTTCAGCATCAGTCCTTCCAGTGAATTTTCAAGGTTGATTTCCTTAAAGATTGTCTAATTTTATCTCCTTGATGTCCAGGCGACTCTCAAGAGTCCGCCAGCACCGCAGTTAGAAAGCCTCAATACATCTCACATCCATACACACCCACACTTGACTACTGGAATGTACGTCCTACTGGAATGTATGACACATCATACTGGAATCTATGACTACTGGAATGTGCCTAGAGCCGTAGGTATACATATGTCTGCTCCCTCTTGAACCTCCCTCCCACCTCTCACCCCATCCCACCCCTCTATGTTGTCACAGAGCACCGGGTTGAATTCCCTATGCCACTGTGTCCACAAATCTGTTCTCTATGCCTGTGTCTCTATTGCTGCCTTACAAATAGGTTCATCGGTGCCATTTTTTTTAAGATTCCATATACATGTGTTATATATTTGTTTTTCTTTTTTTTTTTTTTTTTGGACTTACTTCATTCTGTATAATACACGCTAGATTCATCCACTTCGTTACAACTGACTTAAATTCGTTTCTTTCTATGGCTGAGAAGGAAATGGCAACCCATTCCAGTATTCTTGCCTGGAGAATCCCATGGACAGAGGAGCCTGGCAGGCTATAGTCCCTGGAACCACAAGAATCGGACACGACTCAGTGACTAAACCACACCACCACAATATTCCATTGCAGATAAGTACCACAACTTCTTTATCCATTCACCTGTTGATGGACATCTAGGTTGCTGCCATGTCCTGGCTATTGCAAATAGTGCTGCAGTGAACACTGGGGGTACATGTGTCTTTCAGAATTGTGTTGTTTTTTGTTTCAGGGTATATGCACAGTGTTTGGATTGCTGGGTCTTTAAAAGGATTTTCTTTTTCCAAATGAAAAGTTTCCAAGTGAACCTTCAAGAAAAACGTTTTTATGAACCAGGCAGGAAATATTTCTACACGTTTTGACACAGACAACATTTATACATTATCAAGTTGTGTAACACTTTAGAAAGCACTCATTTATTCATTTTAAGATCTAACCTTTAAACAGTAACAAATTTAAGTCTGTTAACCTAGAACTGTAGAAAAGGAATAATAAGATTTTATACTTTTGCAATCTGTGAGTGACTGTAACTTACTATACTGTATTGAAATGTTGGAGACAGGATAGTTAATAATTTATCCAAGACCAAGAGTAGTTGATCAAGTTGATTTTATTGAGCTCATTTATTTATGACAATGCAGGAGATGCAGGTTCAATCTTTGGGTTAGGAAGATTCCATGGGGTAGGAAATGGCAACCCACTCCAGTATTCTTACCTGGAAAATTCTACGGACAGAAGAGCCTGGTGGGCTATAGTTCATGTGGTCTCAAAGAGTCAAACACAGGTGAGTGGCTGAGCATTCATGCTGAGTCCCTGGGATCCAGAGGAATACATTTTACAGGTGACTTTTCAATGTCTCCCACCTTTAAACCAATGTTTATCTTAGCATATTTAATTTATATCCTTCCTGTACTATTTTAATCTGTACTTTTGCTTCTTCATAGTGTCTCTCATTCAAAATACTCTAGAAATGCAAATCTATAACTAACTCTTCCAAAGACTTCTTCCTTTATACTCTAATATTCCAAAAGTGAATTATTTAAATCTTTTGGAGGGAGCCAATTTGACACAATTTTAGCTATTTCTTCCCAAGATACCACTCTGAACCATCTTACAATTATTTCTAACAGTTAGGGGATGAAAACATGGACACCGAACTCAGTTAGAGTCCCACTAATGATTAAGAGTTTAACTCCTAATCTTAGCATGCAAACTCCAATATAATCCTTAAAAACTGTAACAAGAGCTCTGCTATTGTCATGTAGAAACAAACCCAAAATACAGACAATGGCTAATAATATTTGCCTAGGAATTTCTCTGTATTTTATAAGTAACAAATATTTGTCAAAGTTATCACACCCTGAAAGAGTTTATTTTCTATTATTTGTGCATCAGTTTTGTTTCTTGTATCTCTTTTACTTCTGTTAGCCATGGAATTACATGCCTACTGATGCAAGGAAACAGAACAAAGAGTCAGTTTTTTTATTTCAGGTAAGCAGTAAGGGTATATAAAAGTTGCATAGAAAAAGATAAAGACCACTGCCAATACCAGAAAATGCTTCTTTTGGGGGCATGGGGATAGCTTCAAGGGAATGGAGAGATTATTGAAGAGATGATTAAAGTGATTAAGGGAAGAGAGGAGCCTGAGCCCCACATACCACTGAGAAGAACCCTTCCTGCAAAGTCCCACTGTGGCAAGATATTACTGAGACCCCTAATTTTATGAGGAGCTAATAGAAAGCTGGAGACCTATGTCTTAGATCAGGATCCCAGAAAGGCAGAAGGTTGCCAGAGATGGCTGGTGATGTATTTGGACGGTTTCTCTACTTCTTGGTATGGAATAAAAATAATAGGCTAACTCATGAATATCTGAAAATGGAAAACAATTTTGAAGATATTTAAACAAAAATACTATGCTTATTCAGAGCTTAGGAAAGAGGGTTACAGTTCTTAGCAGAGTCTATGAAGATATTGAATGAGGACCAAGATATAGTTCCTCCATGCAGGTATAACCATATGCAGCGTGTATATGCATGCTGGAAAACATAAGCAAAATTCTGTATTACTGAGGTTTTCTGGATTTTGTTTATTGTTTACCACCCACATGATGGAGACATTAGGAAGTTACAGAAAAATAAGGAAATCTATATGTCTTGTTTTATGCCTGTGTTTCTGCTTAAAAGTGATACTACAAGAAAGTGTTTATCAAGTATTATATTAGTCACTATTCTTTTTATCTAAATTTGTATTTAATAAATGTGTATGATATTCATTATGCATTTACTAGGCATTATGTTAAAAATTTAAATTCCTTCTTCAGCATAATCCTCACAAAAATCTGTTAAGATAGATTTTTATCATAATTGCCAGTTTGCTAATGAAGACGATCGGGATTAGAGAGGATGTATAAGAGAGGGTGAGTAAATTGCCTAAAGTTAAAGAGTGATAAAAACAGAGCTGATGCTCAAGTCTATCTTTGTTTGCATCAAACTCATATTTGTTTGATCCAAATGGCTTTCAATTTGTACACAGTGACAATTTATTGTTTTTTATTCTTTTTTTCATTTATTTTTGTTAGTTGCAGGCTAATTACTTTACAATATTGTAATTTTTTTTTGCCATACATTAACATGAATCAGCCACGGATTTACATGTATTCCCCATCCCGATCCCCCATCCCACCTCCCTCCCTACCCCATCCCTCTGGGTCTTCCCAGTGCACCAGCCCCATGCACTTGTCTCATGCATCCAACCTGGGCTGGTGATCTGTTTCACCCTTGATAGTATACATGTTTCGATGCTGCTCTCTCAAAACATCCCACCCTAGCCTTCTCCCACAGAGTCCAAAAGTCTGTTCTGTACATCTGTGTCTCTTTTGCTGTTTTGCATATAGGGTTATCGTTACCATCTTTCTAAATTCCATATATATGTGTTAGTATGCTGTAATGTTCTTTATCTTTCTGGCTTACTTCACTCTGTATAATGGGCTCCAGTTTCATCCATCTCATTAGAACTGATTCAAATGAATTCTTTTTAATGGCTGAGTAATATTCCATGGTGTATAT